TTTTTTTGCAATACAACAGGAAAACTGCTTGTTTAATGTATAGCAAAATGTAATTAAGAACTTTTTGTTAGCTAACATTTGTTCCTTTTTGAACTTTGATCATTTTTCGTAACATTTCCAACATTACCATTTGCTTTCCTTTTTCCATTTCCAGTATCATCTTTCTCTTTTTTTTTCCTTCTCCATTATCACCATTCTTTTTCTCCTCTCACTCATTCGATCTTAGAAGTGACAAATACTCGTCCTTTTAAAAATTCTCAAATATTAGCAATCTTTTTTTTTTTTTTTNTTAAGCGAAATTTTATAGGTTACAGTTTGTACATCATATTTTATACAACAAAATTTTTAGTCAGTTTCTACCCTAAAAATTTCTTTCATTATTTTTTTCAAGAAATAAAAAATTATTTGAAAAAAAAAAAAGAAAACGATTCACAAATACCTATCAAATTTCCATAGATCGAAGAACATCGTATGAGCTTTTCCTATCACCTATAGAGTAAATAATCAAATTATAACATTTAAAAATTCAATTAAAAAAAAAAAAGGGAAAAAATCAAAAACAAATGAACGAAGATATTGCGGTAATGAAAGCACGACTGCGAGATGCAATTGCAGATGCACATAAAGTTGTCCGTGCTTTGGGTGGTGAAGCCAATGGTCAAGATTTATTGCTCAGAAATAAAATTGAGGTTAGTTAGCGCTAACGCTATTCTTAATTTAGAGCGAATAGAAAAGTGAAAAAAATAGTACTGATAAATGAGATGAAAACATTAAAGGTAAGAAAAAGTCACTAATAACGGTTGACTTTTTCATAGGTATAGCAAGTATGTATACATTAATAACGTATTATATTAATTCATTCCAGACTGGACGAACTCTTTCGGCTGATGTAACCCAGTTGGGTGATGAAAGATTAGCTAAATTGGAGCAAGCGTTAGCATTATGTCTTGAAATTGATCAATCATTTGGTGAATTGCATTCCTGGTTAGAAAGTATGGAAAGTGAGATTGAAAATTGTCCGCCCGTTACAACAGGACATCAACGAGATCAGTTAATGCAACAACAAGTTCACAATACTGTGAATTTTTCAATTTTATTAAACAGACTTTTATGCCCAATTGAAACAGTCCATCATATTAAGAGATCTTTAACTAAATTACATGTGCCTTAGTTAAATTACTTTTATTTGGGGTAATTGATAAAGCCTAGTGCATGCTTCTTGAGAGAGAGAAATATCTTGCATACATAAATTGTGATAAAGTGAACTTGTTGATTTTGAAGAACTCGATGAAACATTAAAGAATATGAGCGAAATGAGACATTTGTTTCAGTTATGAGACTTCTTTATGTAATAGTTCCAAATGTTAAATTTAATTATTTAAGTCCCAAAACTTTGTTCAGATTTAACTGTTTTGGAATAATCATAGTATTGATTCAGTTGTATTTATTCAGAAAAACATTAGTAAAATATTCCATTTTGAAGAAAATGGATAGATAATAGAAGTAATAAGCATTTAACTTTCGCTTACTTGATTCTAAATTTAAAAGATTTCTCATATTAAATCTTTTTTTTAGAAGCTACAACATTCGATCATATCACATAAACCATTAATGGATCGTTTTCACAAAAATGTCAGTGCTTTAAGTGAATTATGTGGTGCAGACGATGAAATACAACTTCAAAAAATAGCTGAAGGCTTGGATGAGCGATTCTTTGCTGCTCGAGATGCTGTTCGTCAGCGAGCCGAGGCACTTGAAACTGCAATTGAGCAAAGCAGTAAGTTCACAGACAGGTTGGATGTTGTCCTGGCAAATCTGGATGGTGCTGCTATGCAGGTATATTTTGATATTTACAGTAAAGTGATAAGGAAATAAAGATATTTTCTTATTTTTTATCATTCACTACTTCATCCACTAATTAGCTATTTGCGAATGCATTTGCTATAATGATTACAGATTCGAAATCCAGAACCAATACTGGCTGATCCAGAACGTATCAAATTGCAAATTATGGATAATCGCTCCTTAATGGAACAGCTTAAACATAAAGATGGTATATTGAGATCGGTGAAGGAGAATGCCGAAGAGATTTTGGTACATGCAAATTCAAATGATAGTGGAGCTGCAGGTTTTCATAGCATTAATATATAAAAATGACTAATACATATGTAATCAAACCTTTCATTAATAAAAGTTGTAAACAAAAAATGTAAAGTATAAAGTATACAAGAGATTGGAGTGAAATCGAATGGATTTACAGAGCATGTATGGAAATTTTGTAGTGGTAGTTGTGAGTCTTTTTTTTTGCAGAAATCAGTATTAAAATAAAAGAACTTGATGCATTATGGGATGAACTAATGAAAGGTGTTACGACAAGAGGAAATATCTTGGAAGACACGCTAGTTAAAGCAGAACGATTTTGCTATGAATTGAAGTCTTATCAGAAAGCAATTAACGAATTGCGTTTGCGCATCGAAGGAATACAACTTGCGTTTGGAGAGCCGACTGTTATTGAGCAGCAGCGAAATATCCTTCTAGTTTGTTGTTTGGTTATTTTACCAAATTTCCAGAGATTTTTTTTTACTAAATTTCATCTAAAAAGCCAGCATGTGTTACTGTAGCGCTGTGAAAGAAAATAGCATGAGAATCAAAATGCAATCAAATTATTATATTCTTATAGGCAATTAAAAATGAAATGCGAGAAATCAAACCAGAAATTATGGATAAATTACGTAGCACTGGGCGCGACCTTTGTGAAGTAGTTGCTGAAGAAGAAAAAGCTCATGTAGAACAGCAAATGAATGAAGTTGAAGGAGATTGGATTAGGGTAACTGGTATGTACGATCGGAAGTAAGTCTCAAATGGAGTTTTTTTATTATACTAATCAACTTTAATTAATTGTCTGGTTGAGTCAGATGTTTATAAAAGTATAACTTAGTGTTGTGGTATTATAATAACAAGATCGATATATAGATAATTTCAGGGAATCAGATTTGATTGATGCTATGGAAAAAGCAAGGCAATTCCATGATTTATTAACAGAACTAATAAATTGGGTAGGAGAAAGAGAAAGTGAAGTATTCAAATTAGATCCTAGTACCGTCGCATCATCCAATGATATTAGAAATGAGGTGCATATTTAATTTCAAATTTTATAAAATTTTACTTTCAAATTGTTAAACAAAGCAATTATTTAGAATTTTTGCTTATTTTTTGTTTTTTTAATTTCGTTCCAACATTTTATCTTTTACAGCTTGCCGCTCTGGGTGATTTACGCTCATTATTGGATGAGAAAGCTTTGGAGAAGGAACAGTTGAATCAGCTATGTGCAAGCCTTTGCGTTGGTAGTACTGCACAACAATCTGCAAACATTAGAGCACCGATCAATGACCTGAATATTCGCTGGAATAGAGTTAGTGTACATTTGGCTATTTAATTCTTTGTCATTAAATCATCAAAGGGCTTTATTCGTCCACAAAGTCTGATCTCACATCGCTGTCAACATTTTATTCGAAATAAGATCATTCATTTGTTCAAGAAATTGACTATGTCAATTATTTCTGTAATATCTTAGTAAGCAATTACAAAACCTTATGAATTGATATTATATAATAACTTGCAATTTTTCTCATACTTTGGCAATATAATTTGATTCTTTTACATTCAGAGTCTAAACATATCGATGTTGCTCTAAGCTGGCAGTGATATACTTAGCATGATTGAAAATTTAAATTTGAGATTAATGATAAATGATTTTATGTTTATTCAGGTTTGAAGTTTGCTATTATTAAAATGTTTTTTATACAAATTCAAATCGGTTTTTAATGAAACTTCCGGAATAATTGTAAAATAAGTGGTTTTTTTGAATAACCAGCTCTTCAGATCTTCATAAAGATGCTTTTGTCGGAGATTTAATCAGCAATTCTCTGGCAGTAACAGTTTCATATTAACTTGAAAAAGAAATTTTCAAGCCCAAAATAACAAGTCCAAACAGAAATAGCAAATTGTAGTAAAAAATTTTTGAGAAGCTAATTTAACATTTGAAAATGGAGGAAGAAACTAATCGTTATTATCTCCTTACCTCAAATGAGATATCCAATGATAAATTAAAAAGGTTTTTAATTTTAATTTGTCGTTTTAAATATGAATTAGAATCTTACGTTTTTCAGTTCTTTCGAAATATATCAGTGAGTATTCTATATCCTACCATAATGCATTAAAATTATATTAATCATGCATGCTTGAAAGAATTGAAATAAAAAGCATTATTTATCCTATGATACAATAGACGGTACAATAGAAGTATTTATTTGTATTTCTGATAATTTAGCTATATGCATTGTTAAACGAACGTCAACAAAAAATGGAAAAAGCATTGTTGGAAATGGGACAATTTTCGCAAGCATATGAACAGTTAATGATTTGGATCGAAAAAACGCAACATGTTTTGAATGAAGTTTGTTTCCTTCTTTTTCTTTTCAATTCTCTTTTCATAAAAATCAGAAAATCGAAAATTGAAAATTGCTATGAATTCATGTGCGAATATAGCAGAAAGTAAGGGACTGAATCAATAACTTTCTTGAATCCTTTTGGAAAATTATTTTTGCGGTATTTCATATACACTATCACATTATCAATTTTCTTTTTTCGTTTAATACTTTAGAAGTTTGCTTATGCTTGTTATAAATTTGTTGTGATGATTAAATAATTTCAGATCAATTCTCGACCAAACAGTATTAGAGAAGCAGAAGTGGAAGTTTGCAAACATAGAGTAATACAGAATGAAATTCTGGTACATGAAGCAAGCGTGGATACTTTGAACAGTGCTGCTAAGCGTATAATTGCTGCTGATCCAAGTGCTGCAAGCTCAACACAACCAATGATCGATAAGTTAAATTCAAACTGGCACATGTTAGTCGATAAATTGGAGGATGTTTGGGTACAGGTGATAATTATTCATATTGTTTCAATATTATTCCTAGAAAAGGATTGAGATAATTTTCACTGAATTAATGGGATTGATTTATTTGAATGTTAAATCTATAATCCAATTTAATGTTAAATCATCATTATAGTTTTTATTGACATTTATAAATTGATAATGCTTATTCAATGACAATTATATACTAAGTTTATTGCTTATAACTTACAAAAATTTAAATCATATCCATTTCTACTTTTTCTTCTCTTCTTTTCTCTTATCTTAGCTCTTATCACTTTTAGAAATCGACTATCCTTCGATAGTCCTGTTTTTAGCTTTCGGAATTTAGCACTGCAAAAACAACACTTAGAATTACAGTTGGATGATGCCCGGAAAGCTGCGGAAAATCTGGACAGTGAAGTGGATCGTTGGGCAATGTGGCTTCAGGATAAAGATGCGGATTTATCTCATATGAAACCAACAGGTGGTTTACCGGAAACTGCACAAGCACAACTTGATGATTTCTTCGTTTTAAAGGTATCTCCATTTCCTTAATCATTTTTTGTCCCTTCATTTTTTAGTCTATTTCTTTCTTTTTTAGGGATCTTTCTAAATTTCAAAAATTGCAGGCTGAAATTGAACAGAATCGACCTGCACTAGAAGCGCATCTGGAAACAGCAACAAAGTATCTATCGGATAGTGATCGAGATTCGTGGATTGCGCAACGGGGTGCGCAGTTGACGAAAAAGTGGATTCAGGTAAACAATCAGGAAATTTTCTTGGTTGGATTTTAATTTTAAGTAGATTCCTGATTGAAAATATTTCTTCATCTTAAAATAGATTGATAATAAACAATAAGTTATTTAACTTAATATTTAATATTTTATAATAAATTTAAATTATTTTCTCTTTGCAGATACAAGACAAGATTGGTGATAGAGAGCAGAAGTTGAGAATGGCATTGGTAGAGGCCGAACAGCTTCATTCTTCCATGACATCAATGAATGATTGGTTAAATTCAGCAGAAAGCTATTTAGGTTGTTTGGAACATGTGTCAAGAATACCTGATATTGTAGAAAAGCAGATGAATGAACATACCAAATTCCAAGCTGAGGTAAAATTTTGGATGGAAGCATGCAAATTGTTGGTCATGGATATTTATCTGATGAACCAATCGATAATTTAATATCAAATTTTTTTTAATGAACCGAGTTATAAAAAATGAACACAAATGATAGCAGTTTAGGTACCATTCCCATTACATTGATGTGTGTACCGTAAGTTGAAAATATAATGTCTGTTCTGTCACATCATTTTGAATTGTAATTTTACATTTTTCAGGTATCACACTATCGAGAATTAATGAGTGACTTGAACAGCAAAGGCACTAAATTACAGTATTATTGTGAAAAAAAGGATGCGATACCAATTAAGAATTTGCTTGTTTCGGCTAAACATCGTTTTGATAAAATTTCTTCGAGATGTGCTGACCGAATGAAGCAACTGGATCTCGCATTACAAGAAGCACGAGTTTACTTTGAATCGTATACCGAGATAATCGATTGGATAACTTCAAGGCTTAAATGGATTGATGATCAATATGCTCAGGTATTTGCTTTTATCTCTATATAAAAGTTTGCTTGGCATTATGCGTGAAAAATTCTCGGAATATTGATTGCGTTTACCGCTGTCAGTGCCTCAGTAAGATCGATCATTTCTAGAACAATAGGAAGAAAAAAAAATCGTATATTGATCTACGGCCACGTTTAGGTGTTGGCTTTCCGGCAATAGTGATTGTTTTCGATGAATAAATTCTTAATAAATTAATGGGATGTCTTATGATATCATTCTCTGCTTACCAGGAATTGAAGCTAAATGAAGGGAAAAGGAATTATGCTAGAATGAAAGAAAAATTGAGCTAAAAGATAATTCTGTTATAGCCTAACGTAGGAGGTATATGTTCAATTAAATAATTTTGAATTTCCAGTTTTTCAACTCTATTTCTATGATCCGTAATCATTCAGTGCAGTAATTTCATTTTAAGTATTCTATAGTCCTATTTTTTATTGGAATATTGGAAATCAGTTAAATCAGCGGAGCAAAATAAAAGAATCTATTCTTGAAAATACAAAATGCTCAGTTTTTCAACCATTACAATTTCTTCATCAATGTTATACAAAGAATTGTATTTAAAATCTTTAATACCATTGCTTTAAAAATAGTGACTGCCGGAGAAATGAGATGTCAATTTTACGGAAGAAAAAGAATAAAAATTCGTCGTAATAGACTGATAGAAAGGTAGAATCCTCGTTTTATGGGCAATTTTTATTGCATTTTTTGCTTCGGTAACAGAAAGCATTTAGTGATATAATTATAGGCAATATAATTATAAAAAAGTGTCGCTTTGAGTTTCAAATTAAAAGATTGTGTCATTTTTCATCAAGCAATAGTTGACATTTTTAATCGGTAAAAATAAGTATGTCAGTGTCAAAGTAAATCAGATTAATTTTCAATTATGCAAAAAAGTACTTTTTTTGTCATCGGTGAGTTCTGAAATTTTTGTTAATAATTAATGTTATAATTGCAGACAGCATCCGGTGATCGATTACGAATCGATTTAGAAAAACATCGGAAATTCCAGCATGAACTGACCGAACGACAAGGAGTTTATGAAGGAACATATAAACGAGGCAAGGCACTCTCGGAGCATGCACCACGGGAAGAGCAAGCAGGAATCGATCAGATGAATGAACTGTTGAAGGAGAGATGGACCCAGCTAATTAATGCGACGTTGCAAAAGTAATTTTCATTTTGATTTAATTGATTAGTTAGTTTGATTAATTCTATTTTGACTAATTAAGAATGAATTTAAGCGATATTGAATTAAATTTATATTTGATTCCTCACCATTATCTTACCATTATTTCTGCAATTCAGTTATTTTAGCCCATGTGGAAGTTCAACAGCTAAAACTGTGATAAGTTTATTCGTGAACTTAGATTACCACCAAGAAATGTGTAATGAAAGACCATTGTTCCCGTTGAGAATAGCAAAATTAATGAAGTTTCCAATTCAATCTGGCATATTACAGACAGAGAGCAATCGAGGATGCATTGTTGGCATGTGGACAGTTTGATGAGGCTTTATCATCACTCCGAGAATGGCTCGCAAAATCTTTGCCTGGTTTGCAGAATATGGAAGCTATTCCTGTATATGGTGATTTGGAAACTGTTAGCAAATTACGCGATAAGCATAAAGAATTAAAGGAACAAATAGATACTCATCGAGATACATTAAACTCGGTGAAGGAACGTGCGCAACAGGTTTTTATTCAGATATTTTCATTTCATGAGATACATTTTATTATATTCATCGTTCTGTATAATTCGATGAACAAAATTTGATCTTTACTGTAAAAGTTTCAGATGTTGGAGAAAGAAACGGATGATTTGTTGGATGGCCTGAAAGAGAAGGTAGAAAAGGTAAATGAGGATTGGGTTCTTCTAGAGGAATTGGCAAAGAAAAGAGAGGAGCAGCTGGAAATTTCTTACGACATTGCCAAGAATTTCAGTGATGAAATTCATGAATTTCTAGATTTTTTGCCAAAGATTGAAGCAAGATTAAGAACTAAGGTATGTTTTTCTATTATTCCCTTTTAGTTACATACAATAAATTGATATTTCCTTCAATTTAGATTGTGATATTTTCGGGACTGGATAATACCGATCCTAAGTTAATCTCGTTTCTCGGACTACATGTTATTGATTCCGATGTATACTGGATACTACGAATGCGCGTTATAAGTGAAATCTAAGACATGTAATCCAAGAAAGAGAGATAAAAGTTATTTAAAATTAAAAAACATGACGAAGTATTGCGTATTATAATTAAATACAGTTCTATAAAGCATTGGCGGATAATTGCTGGAAACGGGATGCAATAAATGATGTATGAAGAATGGATATGAGTGTTAATCATACTTTCAGAGTCAAACAGCTGAAGGTGAAAGTGAAATTTTGGAACAAATGGACGAAGTGGCACAGCTGAATAAAGAAATGGATGATAAAAAGCCATTAATGGAGTCCATCAAGAAAACTGGGGAGGATATACAATCCAAGTGTCATCCCTCTGCAGAACAACCAATGAAGTATTGGTTGAAAGTGTTACAAAATCGATGGTATGAAGTAACGAGTGCTGTCGACAAAAAGAGGGATGATTTGGAGATGGTTAGCGTTGAAATTATTATACAGAAACTTGCTTAGTTATTTAAATTTAACCAGAATCTCTCAAGTTGACTGATTTTTAGTTGATGAAACTTAAGAATCATTAAAATCTCGATTTTTCAAATTCGAAGTTCAAACTGAATTATGATAGTTATTTTTTAAAAGGGTTCGAAAGAGAAATTTTGAAATTTCTTTACCATGTTTTTGTTTTTCTAAGTGTTCTCCAGTTTTAGCAACTCAATGAACTTCATGCGAGAGAGAAAATGACCACTGATTTGTTGAAATATATTGAAGAAAGAAGTGCTGAACTAAAGATATTAAATGAGACATCGTTGCCGCAGGAAATGGATGCTCTTGACAGGTCCATTCTCTAATTTTTAAAATATTGAGCTACTGATAAACGTGAATGAAGGTGGTATTAATGGGCAGCAAGGAGCGACGAATCTAATTTCATGAATTTTACTGATTACTTATGATTTTAGACTTATTGTGGATCATGAACAATTCGAGAAAACTTTACGGGAAAAACAAGGACTAGTTGATGAGGCAACAAGAAATCGACGAAAGCTTGATGTAGAGGAGAAAGTGAAAAAGAAAGGTGGCAAAGCACTTCAAAGGTATCGATTCAGGTTGTAATGGTTATGGCATTGCTGCATTGATAATTGTTATTCTTTATTAATATACAGTTATTTTTCAGGCATGAACATCGTGTACGACATCCGAAATCCGAGCAGCTCTCTAGCCGATGGAAAAAATTATGGATAGATTCAATGGATTATGGCCGCCAGTTACGTGAAATGAAAGATTATTTGGAGGAGGTTAAATTTTTTGCCTTTTTATTTATGGTTCTCAATTTTCATTTCAAATCTTTTATCAAAATTATTTTTTCTTCATTATGATATCACTGCTCGTATAATCTGTTATCTTAGCCATTGGATATGGATTTTGGTTTGTGGAATTTCCACTTAGAATTAAAAAGGCGGTAGTGATTTTACAGTGAAGAAGGGAAAAATAGGCTTTAGGAGAGATTAAAATCACGATTAATATGATTTCATTAAGTGCTTTATAATCAAGTTTTGGATCCCTCTTTCTATGTCCGAAGTTTAAAATTGATGAAGTCATCTTTCTTGATCTACCTTTGTTTCGTTATTGTTCTTCATCATCATCTTTTGGAACTAAATAGTCAAAATTTTCAAAAATTTAAGGTAAAAAGATTGGAATCGTTTTCGTTCGAGGAATGGCGTGAACGGTATTTGGAATGGACTGATTCTGGAAAAGCTCGAATTTCTGATCTGTTTAGAAGAATAGATAAAAGTGGAACTGGACGAGTGCCACGAGCTGCTTTTATTGATGGTATCATAGCTTCCAGTGAGTCTTTTTTCGATCATTTATTTTATACTTATAGCCTTTGTTGAAATCCAAAAAAAAAAGAATTCAAATTCTATTTTAGAATTCCCTACCACTCGATTAGAAATGGAGAAAGTTGCGGATGAGTTTGACAAAGGTGATGGAATGATTGATTCAAAAGAATTTATGGCGAAACTTCGTTCCGAGTTTTCAAAAGTAGATTTTTACGGTACTTTTAATGAAGAAATAGTTCATTTGATACTCTTGATAAATTGCAGTTTTACCGATTTATCATCTCCTTAACTTTTTATTCTGTCCAGAAATTACCGATGAAGCAAAAAACGGATAGTGAAAAGATCACAGAAGAGGTCGTAAGGCAGACGGAGAGATGTAACTGCATTAATCGATATAAGATTCAGAAAGTAGGCGATGGACATTATCGTGTAAGTTTTTTTTACTAGCCACATGTTCTAATCAATTGGAATATTCTATGAACTTAGTTGGTGATTTCTTTTTTGATAAATAGTCGTGAAGTGCAAAGTGAATAGTGATAGGAATTAGAACTTGATGAATTCACGTTTCGTGGTGGAAGAAATTAATTTAAATGTACTTCTTTTAATCTTCGCTCACATCATGGGAGATGTTATTAGCACTGTGTTTTGTATTAGATCATCAAATTTTTTTTAGTTCGGCGAAACGCAAATTAAACGTATGGTCCGTATTCTTCGATCGACAGTTATGGTCCGCGTTGGTGGTGGATGGGTTGCTTTGGAGGAATTTCTACATAAACATGATCCTTGTCGTGGTGAGTGCCAACGAATTTTCTGCATATGTATGGAATACTTTATATATTTACAATTTTTATATATTTCTTTATATATTTACAATTTTTTTCATACTTAAAACTCATTTCGCGGTATAATTTTTTAGCTAAAGGACGAACGAATCTCGACCTGCAGCGCAATTTCTATGACGATGTTCGACCCAAAGATGCATACGATATGATGGAAACATTCACTAAATCGGCCAGATCAACACCAAATCGTGATTCACCGATTCGTGGTTTTCAGGAATCATTGTTGCAATCTCGTTTTCAGGCAACTCCCGGTCCAATTACAAAAGTAACTATACGTTCGATAGCAAATTTTAAAAATTAATGGAACTCCGTTTGTGATTTTTCATTAGCTTTAAATTGTATGAAGGTAATGTTGCTGTAATGTGGAATCAAGTTCAGATCAGGGAAAAGACAGAACGTAGTATGCCAATGTACGTCAGTGGACGTTCACCAACCATCTATCGTAATTCACCACTTGATATATCGAAATCAAGTAGAAAACCAAATGAATTGAATGGACAAGGTTATTTCTTAAATTATTTTTCCGGAAATAATTTTCATCTACCTAGGATAGAATATATTTACACAATTGTTTCGAATTTTTATTCTTGCATAAATTGTCATTTTTCACCATTAAAATAAACTACTTAAAAATTGTCGCTATTTATTGTTATGACAAATTTTAGATTCAAAAATCAGACGGCCAGGCGCTTCAGGAACTGTTTCACGCTCAGGATCTCATAGTGATATGTTAGATTTGTCACGACCGGTAAGCCGAAGCTCAGATGTTTCAGTAGATGGAGATCGACCAACACGAATACCTTCGTTGCGTGGTCGAAAAGGTGTCAATTATCGATCATCACTTGCACGAGCAAGTGCTCAACCACGTATATAAAATGAACTTTTTTTCCACATTCATCTAAAAGAAGAAGCCTTTGGAAAATGCAATCAGTCCTATTTCCGCACAGTTTTGTTGTATTTTATTATTCATGCAGTTAAACAGTTTAAACACGTCTATTTTATTTTTCATTTTCGTCCATAACTAAAGAGCAAGTCACTTATTTGTGTTATTGTTATTATTTAGAATGCCTTTTTTATCTGTATTACAGTTCTTTTCTCATTTGCATATCTAAGTGATTGTTCGGGTATCTGTCTATGCCTATCATATGAACACTCATTATGCATTTTAATTAAATCTGATAATGTACAATATGACGGATTTATCAATGTTCGAAAGCTATTCTATGAAGCAGTACTGACAAAATAGGATAGTTCGCATAATTTTTTTTAAACAAAATAATGTACAATGATATGAGGTTTATGCTGTACTGTTTATGTATTATTTGAAAGATTGCTGTGACCTGAAATTATTAATTCAATTTTTCGCGGGACCTTTTATGCTTTGTTAATTTTTCCACGTGTAGAAATTGTTTCGTGTCTTTTATTTCAAAGTGCTAATTGGTTAACTATTAGACTGTATCGGCTGTTTATTGTTTTTGCTCATTAAAATCGTTTCAACTTGTTATACAATCTTCTTTTATTATGTTATTATTTTGAACTTGCTGATGATATCTTAATCAAATTTGGAGATAGTTTGCGATATTCTTTATTACGCCTTTTTTATTTCTCTGATTTTAACTGCGACATAGAACAATGGATATTGGAGTAAATATTGATTTCCGGTATATATCAATCTTTTGGAAAAAGTTGAGAACGATATCGTTTGAGGTATTGGGAGCCAGTTAATATAATATATCAGCTACGCTTTAAATCAAAATTTTTTTAAGAGCAGTGATATCAATGAACTATTTAAGAAATTCTCTAAAGCAGTAGGAAAATGAAAATCAAAAAGATGAATTCGAAGAAGGCGTCAGAGGCAATTTATAATAAGCAGAAAGCTGTTGCTGAAAATTTAAATGATAATTGAAAGTTCAAAAAATGATTGGGAGATCTGAGGGAATCTTTTAAATTCAATGAAAAACTAAAAGGCAAAAAAATCAGCAATGATTAATGCAGAAATAATATGCCGATCATTCTTATGATCGGCATATTATTTACCATATATTATTTACCATTTACCATAAATGAAAGGTCATATTATTTATCTGAATTCTGGGAATCTCTTAAAAATAGACTTAATCCATTCAAATTCCCTCCTAAGATTTCTGGAAGAGAATCAATCATCCCTCTTCGGCAGTAATAATACTCCAGGAATTAAATTGTGGATAATGGATTATTCGTTCTTTTATCTATCTATAAGAAACATCTTTACAAATATGTACAAACACAACAATATTTATCAAAAATTATACGCCTATACAACTTGATACTCATCAGTGCTGAAATTCTCGGCATGAATCCATTTCATTCCTATCTTGCACATATCAACCGATTTACATTTTCTTATACGCCACCTAAAAAATATTGCTAATCAGACGTAAAACCGTAAATTAATGATATTCATCAATTAATTTGAAGCCAATTAATCCTAACTTTCCCAGATCTTTCCCGCTATATCTATCATGAGCTTCCTGAAATGCATTCACAAATTTTCATATTATCTAGTCGAAGTCATTCCTTCCTCTGTTAATTAAATTATCAATTGTCAATCAATCATTCAAATATCTTCCAGAACGAATTCCATCATTGATGAATTATTTATCACATTCACGAATGGAAAAAGAAACACTCACCGACTAATGCATTTGGCAATTTTTATTTGCGACATTCTATCAATTTTCATTATTTTATTTTTGAACAATAATTGGCCTATTTCACGATAAGCTCTCTTTAGGACCGGCAAAGTATGGTCAAAAAAATACGGCGCAATGGTAACGTTGTTTAGGGGAGGATTAGTTTCAGACCATTTGTAAGATGAGTGTAATAGAATAATCTCGGATGAATTGAGCTAAAAATGGGTGAAATTTAGTAGTGAAAAGAGAAGCATGGACATATCGTAAAATGGATTTAACGAAATATCGAAAGATGCTGTATTCT